GAAAGGGAGAGGCGCGAAACCGTCCCCGCAGCGCGAACCAGGAGTCCGGGGAGCCGACAAAGGGGAGATAAGGTCCGCTGACGCCCCGGACGACAAAAAATCTCACCTCGCCCCGGGCGCGTATTATTTTGCACCCTTTTGACCAGCAACTTGGGCGAATGTCATTTCTACAGGGGTGCCCTCGCTCCCCTGGGGGATACACTTTGGCCCCCTCCCCCCCTCAGACGTGTGCTCTTCCGATCTACCAGGAGTCCGGGGAGCCGACAAAGGGGAGATAAGGTCCGCTGACGCCCCGGACGACAAAAAATCTCACCTCGCCCCGGGCGCGTATTATTTTGCACCCTTTTGACCAGCAACTTGGGCGAATGTCATTTCTACAGGGGTGCCCTCGCTCCCCTGGGGGATACACTTTGGCCCCCTCCCCCCCGCCGTCCCGGCCCCGGCGAACGCGCGCGCGCGCGGATGACGCCCAACCAAGGCAGTGGCGTCATCCTGGGACGACCGTGAACTTTGCACCACATACGGCACGCCGCCTGGGTGGTGCTGCTCCCTGCCTGTGCTTCCTCAGTCGGGGCCGAATCAGGAAGCACAGGCAGGGGCGGACAGGTCCAGGTGCTGTTGCCGGGGTGGCCGCCGCACCCCCGCCCCCCGTTGAGTGCGGTGCACAAGGGGGGGAAAAAAATAGACCAGGAGAAGAAAATGATGAAGGTATTGTATTGCCGGAGAAGGGCACTGACACATCGCGGCCTGACTCCTCCTCGTTCCGCAGGAGAGGGGGGAAGAGGGAATCGTCTCTGTGGGGCGAGGCAAAAGACTGGCTACTGTACAACTCAACCGCACAGAGGGGAAAGGAAGAGGAGGAGAGAGCAAGGGCGCACGATGGAAGGGGAAGACAAGAAGAACTAGTTCACAAGGGCTGAGGGAAGAGAGAGAGAGAGAGAGAGAGGGGGGGGGAGGAAGAGCAATCCCCTCTTGGCAGGACCGGGAAGGAAGAGAAGGGGAATGGGGGGAAAGAGGAGCGAAGGAAGGGCAGCCACCAGGGCTCCACAACACAACATTGCGGCCTCTATCCCCCCGTCCCTTGCCATTTCCGGGGGAGGAGAGGGGGGGCAGAGGACGGGGCCTCGACCGGCGTGCCATGAGAGGAGGGAGGAGTGAAGAGGAAGACGGGAAGGAGTGCGTGCGACTGGGCGGCCACAAAGCTAGACATGCACATCATTGCTCCTTTGGGCCTGTGCACCTCTCTCTCGACCATCTCTGCTGCCTGAAGAGGAAGAGAGACGAAGGAGGAAGACACAGGAGCAAGGAGGAAGGAGACACGACATCCACGCGAAGACCCTTCATCGGCCACGGAATGACGGGAAAGCACATTGCGAGCGTCTGAGAGAGAGGGGGGGGGAAAGGGAGGAAAGGAGAAATGATCCGCGGGGACATGCTGCAAATGTCAGCTCGGAGCCGGTGCGACCATGGGAACAAAGGCAAAGAGGGGAAGAAAAGAAGAAGAAAGGGCAAATGGAGACGCACCCTGCTGTGAAGAAGGAAGGAAAGGGGGCAAGCGACACCGAAGGGGTCCGAGGAAAGGGGAGAAGGGGTGGGGGAAGCGCAAACAATGCAGGCAGACAGGAGAGAGGGGAGGATGTGCGCCTGTACAGATGTGACATGCGTGCGAAGGAGGCATGCGGCCTGTGTCGCTCCGAGAGTGAGGAGGACGGAGAGACGAGCAGCCACCGCCAGGGCTTGACACACGAATACACGGACACGCGCGAAAGATATACGCATGTCCACATACATACACACACACACAGTGAGGAGGCGACAGGGGGAGAGCACAGCGGCTGCCCTTCTCTCTTGTGTGCACACGCGCGAAGCAATCACACAGACACACACGGAGGCCGGGAGGAGGAGGAGGAGGGGGAGGGGGAAGAGGCCGCGCCGCCAGACGAAATGGGGCACATGTGAACTCACAGACACGCGCACACGCACATGCGCATCCTTCCCCCTCTCCTTCGGGCTGCACACCAATCAAGGGGAAGAAAGAGAAAGGACGACAGTCGAAAGGAGGTGGAAGGATGGCAGACGTGGTGGATGCAGGCCATTTAGGCCTTGCCGGCCTTCTTGGTGGCAGGCTTCTTGGCGTCGGTCTTCTTGCCGGTGGTCTTCTTGGTGTCAGCCTTCTTGGTGGTGGTCTTCTTGGCGTCGGCCTTCTTGGCGGCCGAGGCGGCAGCCTTAACACCGGCGGCCGCGACCTTCTTCTTGCCGGCGGCGGTGGTGGCCTTCTTGGTGGCCTTGCCGGCGGCGGCCTTCTTGGCCACGGTGCCGGTGGTCTTCTTGCTCGGGGTAGCCGGGGAGTCGGTCTTCTTGCTGGGGGTGGTGGCCTTGGTGGTCTTCTTCTTGGTCGGAGTAGCGGGGGCGGCCTTCTCACCGGCGGCCTTGGTGGTCTTCTTCTCGGCCTTGGCGGGCTTCTCGGCCTGCTTGGCCTTCTGGGCCTCCTTGCGAGTGTCGGCGCGCTGCTTCTCGCGGACGCTGGCAGAAAGCTTCACCGCACCGGAGGGGCCCTTGGGGAACTCGAAGACACCCTTGGTCAGGCCACGACGGAGAGCCTGGCGAACCTGGAGGCTGGCCTGGTCACTGACCGGGTAGTTGGCCTGGATGTACTTGAGGATGGCCTGGCGGGAAGAGCCGCTGCGGTCCTTCAGGGCGGTGATGGCGTTCTACAATGTGCCGACGGAGGAGCGAGGAGACACGTGTCAGTTTGGGTGGATGCCAAAGAAACATGGA